CGTGGCGATTTGCATCATTCTATCTTTCTCGTTCATTAGATGTAAACAAGGATAGCATGCTCCGCGAACGCATATTTAGAATGACTTATTTCTTGTAAAGTGTCGATAACCTCACCTGATTTTTCGTACACATGCCCCTTATTACTGTATATTTACCTTATATAAAATTTAGGTACCTATTTAATACTTATTCTCACGAAAGGACTACCTTAAACATTAATATTTGATAAAAACGGCGAAGTCTTGTTATTTTACCAAGTGCTCCTATAATGTATAAGTGCCATCTGTTTATAACTTTATTGCGATTTTCAAGTGGCTCTTGTAAAAGATTTAATGTAAAATTTAATACTGTGTGTATACATATATGTATATACATATAATTGAAAAAAATGTATATACATAACGACATAAAGTTCAAAACTTCAATATTTGCCTAAGAAAATATATAATAATATAAAATAAATATTGTATATCATAAATTCGTTTATGGCTAAACAATTTTATTGTTTGGCAAAAAAAATATCGCGCAAACGAGCGACGAATACTTACTCTTTGATCGTGAATGGACTGATGATGCAGATTACGAGCGTGTCTAGCGAGATTGCGTAGCTCCTTGGGATAGGGGGTCGGTGCTCGATGAAGTTGCCTGGGGACTTCGGAATCTACCTCAGCAGCGAAACATATCCTCTTGCCGTTTCCGATGATCGAACTCGAAATCGGTCCTGCGGTCTGCGCCATTTCTACAATTGAAATTATAAATAACACTACGCGAAGATACGGTGAACGTAAAAGGGGTTATATTAATAAAATGCTGGCGCGAACGTGTGCGATGTTTTTCAACGAAGGCACTATTCAATACCATTTTCTTCATATCTTACCATTTCATTCCTCGTCTTCCTGTCCTTCTTCTACTAGCAGCGTGAATAAATATCGCATTTCATGGTTAGTTAATAAGCCAGATAGAGCGTGTTTTTGTAATAGTGTAACTGAGGTAAGCAAGAAGCCGATTCTTTATTAGTTCAGATATATGTATATAGATATAAATAAAGCTATGTTACAGAAAGAGATGCAATTATTTTTCTATAAGTTATTGGAAGATTTTCAAGCAATTTCTGATGCACGAGATTAGTGAAGAAACATTAGAGCCATGAATAAATTAAACAAAACTTTATGCCAAAAATGGTGGAAATAATGGACACTCACGCTCTAAGTCCTGCCGCGGTTTCTGTGGCAGCATAAAGCAGCTCAACACCATCATGTCCTCCTCACAATTGAACTCCTGCTGCAACGGCACTAACGGCTGGCTCTGATTGTCACTCAACCACAACGCCTTCAAGTTACTGAGATTCAACATGGAGACTGGAAGAAACTTGATGCAGTTGTTGACGAGATTGAGCACCCGCAGCGAGGACAAGTGGCCCAGCTCGGGCGGCACGCGCGTCAGATTGTTCGATCGCAATGAGAGCAGGGACAACGACGTGCAGCTGCCAATCTCGGCGGGTAGCGCGCGCAGATAATTATTGTCCGCGTTGAGACAGTGCAGCTTGCGTAGCAAGCCGATCGAAGACGGCAAATACTCGATAAAGTTCTTAGTGATTATAAGCTCCTCTAAGTTCGACATCTGGCCGATGTCGTTCGGCAGTGCGTTCAGTTGATTGTCGTCAATCTTAAGGGTGACGATCGTGCGCAGGTAGCACAACGAGTCGGGCAGCTCGTACATCTCGTTCGAGGAGAGATTCATGATACCGATGTCGCGCCAGCCGCGTATCTCTATCGGCAGCGCATGTATCGCATTCATCGTGCAGTCGAAGTGGTTCAAGCGGTAGAGCTGCTCGACATTCGCCGGAACACGCCTGATGTCGTTGCCGTCAATCCACAACTCCGTGAGATTGATGAGATCTCCTACAACTTCAGGCTGAAAACAATAATACATATGTAACTCCCATATAACATTCTACTAACACATACTAAAATTGAAATTAAAAGTCAGTGTAAAAATTTAATGGATTACTGGATTGTCATTAATTTTCTTTCTAATTTTACTACCACTAAACGACAGAGAAGAGATATATTTGAATATATTCATTGTTTCTAAAGATATGTATAAATAACTATATTTTAAACAATATTTTATATAAATATGTCTTATTTCTTACATACAAATAGTATATAACCAAACCAAGCATCAGGAAAGAAAATTGATGTCAGAATCATATTCTTGAATTCACTCAAAACTGACTTTATTTTAATAGAATGTTAATATCAAACTTATAAAAATGTACAGTATGAAAAGTCATAAGTTGCCACAAATGTCTTTTTCAGGATGTCCAGTGATGCTGTAAAGTTATATGTTATGCAAATGACACGCATGTGAAAAATGAGTAGATTTAAAAGCAACAACGATTTCACAGGAAAAGTCGCGCTCTTACCAGCTCTGTAAAGTCATTGTTGCCGATATCGAGCCTCTGTAAGTTCACTAAACGGCTCATGCTCTTAGGCAACGTCATCATGTTGTTCTCCCGCAGCTCGAGTGTCCTCAAGGCTGACAGTCGTCCAAAGTTAGCCGGCAGGTATTCAATGTACGCGTCGTTTATGTACAGCTCGCGCAAACCGACGATATGCGTTATAGCATCCGGAAAACGCTCGAAGGGATTGACACTGATATCTATCGAGCGGAGACTTTTGCACTCCTTTATGCTGTCTGGTAAATCCTTTATACCTGCGATAAAAGAATATGCAGTTAAATATAAATATTGTTAGATCCGAAAAAACTGTGTATTCCAAGATGGCAGCTTTTGGAATGCATCTTACATGTGACAATAAAGTTCAAGATGTACTTAATTACTTACTGTTCTTGCTGAGGTCTAAGTATTCCAGGTTGATCAACGACGCTATGGCAGGTGGTAACGTAGTAACTTCATTATCACTAAGCGACAGTACTCGCAATTCGTGGCACTGAAATAGCGGCCTGGGAAGATCTCTTATCTGCGAAAGAACGAAAAGAGACGTTAGGTGTCGTCATAATTGCACAATATAATTATTGAAGAGACTCGCTCTGAGATGATGACCAAGGCACTCACTCTATTGGCGTCGAGATACAGCTTTTCCAACGTTCTTTCGTAAATGAACACATCTGGTGGTACATCGTAGAGGTTACAGTGATTCAGCTGTAGCTCGCAGATGTCTTCTTCCTGGGTTCTCAGACACGCGGCGCACTGCCACCAAGAGCTACCCATTTCACGTGTGTACAACTAGAAACAGCACCATCATATAACGTTAATTACAATTCGAATAATATACATTTTCAATTTTTAATATATTGGCTGCATTCCGATATTCACAGTCAGTAAGTACTGCAAATCTATATTTTACGTCACGTATACTATAGATTTTCAGTACTGAAAGTTGCTGACAGTGAATATTGGAATGCAGTCATTATATACCTAATTGAAAATTATAAGATTCTCGACACGACAGAATTCGAGAATTCTGTAATATTACTTTTAAAAAAAATGTAACATCCACATAAATCTCTTTTTATCTCAAAAATCAACTTATATCAAATAAATATTCCTTCTTTATTTTTCTGCAAGCATTAAATACATCTCCAAGTTCTTCAGAATTCATACTTTTCAATCTTACAATCTCCATCATTATTTGTAATAAATTACAATTAATAATTAATTACGAATCATATTTTATTTACACACATTTAATTCGAACCCAAGCAAAACAAATTGTTCCACACTTGCGCGAATTCTATCGCCTCACTTTCCCGAACGAAACACGCTTTTGTTCAGCCGTGGGAGCACCAGGAAGTGCACCGTTACCTCAGCAGTGGTCTCAGGAACGATCCGGCCGCGATCCACCGTGGGACAAATCCCACCGTTCGCGAAAACGCCGCCGACGATGACGGCGATGAGCCGCGGGGGCGCCGAGCCGCCGCCGCGATCCCCGGTCGCCGTTCGCCGTATCACCGCGTCGCGCCGCCGCGGCGCCGCGGGCTGCGGCCGTTGATCATCGTGTCGCCTGCGGGAATCGGCATCGCCGGCGCAAACGGTGACCTGGCCCGACCTGGTGGGCCCGCTGCGCGCTCGATTGCTGCGAACGAGAGACGCCGGCGCGAGGAACGTCAAGAGATGATCCGTCGGCGTTTCGCCGCCGCCGCCGTCGTCGATCTCGACCTCGACCTCGTCCTCGTCACCGCCGCCGTCGTCCTCGTCAACGTCGCCGATCTTCTCAAGCGCATATCTCACTCCCTCCTCATGGTACGACGTACGGCGCCGGGCACGGAGATCCGTGTCTCCCTTCGTCACACCTCACCCGCACGAATCCTACCTGATACCCGAGTCGGCCGAGTCTCCGAAACTGCCGCGAATCGCGGTCCGGGGTCCGGGCTGTCCGACGTCCGGAGCCGCGCGAAATAACACTCCAATACTGAGGCCGACTTCGCCGACTGCGAACTGACTGAACACTGTGGAGTGTGGAGTGTGGTCACTGTGGTCACTGTCTATTTACTTTACACCATGGTCACTGTGAACAGTGTGAACACTGTGAACTGTAATTGCGAAGGGTAAAAGCACAAGTATATACTGTGGTAAAAGCCTTGTGTTTGTGTATGTACATACATGCATATGCATATTGTACACGATACTAGAAATCGGTCCGAGTCCTCGGTCCGAGAAAAAGTTACTAGAACTCGAATTGTGTACATACACAGGCAACTCGGATGAATTTCTCGAATAGAAAACTTGTACAAAAAAATGCATCCTGTCCCATTTCCGTACAAGTTAATATCGATTCAATTCCATGTTGCCGACGTTATTACTTTTATAGCTAGTAATGCTGGGTCTACAATGCGAGTCGCAAAGTCGTGAGTTGCAAGAATTGACCAATCACAGT